TTTGTCTTCTTGAGACAAGGTTTCACTATCAGTTCAAGTTGGCCCTGTTCAGGCTTGTCTCAAACTCACAACAATCCTCCTGCCTCTGCCTCCTGAGTGCTGGAATTATAGGCACGTGCCACCATGCCTGTGAAAATATTTTAGATACACATTTTCATTGGGTACTAGTAAAATTTCCTCTTCACTAGTCTCACCAGACAAATACTACCTTTTCACCCTTAACTACTATGGTAGGAGAAAGACACCTACTACAGTTTTCCTTGGACTCTCTCTTATACCCGTCTTTCTATCAAAGTTTCAATACAGAAGTACAAGACTCAGACTTTTACATCTGGTTCCAGCTAAAACTCTGCATTATCCAATCACTCACATGAATTTCTGCAGACACCCAGAATTCATTTCACATTTAAAAAACCTCTATGGACCCCTGAGCCATCCATAATTCTCTTCTCTACTTTTTAAATACTGTCTCAGAGCAAACTGACAAATTGGTTTTTGGAGGTTTGTTTTAGTTTTTTTAAAATTTGTTTTATTGTTGTTCTCTTGCAGGATGTGTGAAGACGCATGTATGTACGTTTGTATTTACAGACAGGGTCTTGTTGTGTAACCCATTTGGCCTTGAAATGGCAATCCTGTTTTCAAGTGTTATAATTACAGACCTGCACACCATGCCCAGCTCGGTTATAAACAGTCTGAAAATTACAATTTTTATATAAACTTCTTTCCTACATAATAAACCATTTAATATCTTCAGAGACTGCAGGAACATCTTAATGCCACAAGGGTGCACTAAATCTCTCTTTATTACCAAAAGCAAACCATCCAGGCATGGTTGCATTCAAGGTGAAGTACAAGGAGGGCTGCAAGGTGAGGGTCAGCCTAGCTACACAGTGTGTTCAAGGCCAGCCTAAAATATGTAAGAAAATCCTCTCTCAGAATGAAAGCCATGAATGTCCATTTTGTATCTGTGTGTTCAAAGTGGTTAGGTTAGATATATAGTTACATTCTCTTAATGAACAGAATGATTTATTCTGATGGTGTTTGTAGATAGTATATCATGTCTGCATCTTGTATAGCAATTAACCACTGGGAAGAATGTATGCAATGTGTTGATTATTGAAACTGTCCTACCAATTTGATTTGAAACTGTCTCATTGCTATTTGTTTATCAATAAAATTATGGAAAAAAAAAAAAAAGAAAGAAAGCCAAAGAAAAAGCTTGTTTCTGCATTGTATATTTTGCTCCCACCAAAATTACTCAACATTCATTTTCCGAATACATCTTATGATCAATTCAAATTTAATGCTACAAAAATAATTATCAATGGTCTTGGTAACACTTCTGCTTTACCTTTTTTTTTTTAGTGGAACCAGGAATTGAACTCAGGCCCTTGTGCTTGCCAGGCAAGTGTTTATTCTGCTGAGCCATCTCCCCAACCCCTTACTTTACTTTTAAAAGTTGATCAGAGTTTTAAATCTGGGGCTGGGGATTTAGCTCAGGGGCATAAGCACCTGCCTGGCTAAGTGTAAGATCCTGAGTTCAATCCCCTGTACCCCCCACCCAAAAAAAAAAACCCTTGTTTATTAATTTATATTCTTTGGACTTATAAGTCCAGTGTTAAGACTGGCCACTAGAACCTGTAACACAAGCAGTGGGGGCAGGGTGGTGGCTAAGTAGGAGATGTGCTTAGCGTGCATAAGGTCCTGGGTTCAATCCCTAGCAAAAGAATAACAACCCTCACAGAACAGATCACATGGAATGATATCTTTATAGTCACAAAATCTATATTTACAAGTGGGATTTTTAATGAATATAAGAACACTAGTACTTATAATTATCATCTAGAATATTTACTAAGCAGTATCATTGTGATGGACATTTTAACTATTCCTCATGATAACATACATATAGCTTTTTGCTTCTTTTACAGCTGAAGAAACTTCAGCTCAGAGACTTGTCCAAGGCCACATAACAACTACTAAGCAGTAAAACTGTGATCCACACCCCACTAGAACTAAGACATGAAGCTGGTTGCACAGGGCTACAAAATCCAAGCTCTCTTCAGTATCCTGCTGCAAACAAGAATAAAAAAAATTCTCATCTTACCCATAGTCATCTATTAGGTGGGAGCCAAGTACCACCACATCAAGTTCAAAGAACTCAGGTTCCGTTTTAATGCCAAACATGATTGGGGCAAGTTTAGAATAATCCGCTCGGTTGCAAGTAGCAACACAAACCCGAAGCTTTCGGTTATTCCCATTCTTCTCCATGACTTGATCTTTTCGTTTTGATAGTTTCTTAAAATAGAGTTCCTGAAGTTTCAAAAAATAAAATTAAAAAAAAATGTTTATAATCAGAATTCAATATAAAAATTTTCAATTTTAAATCTTACCATTTACCACAATGAGGAAGGGTTTTTCTCTTCCCCCATATACCATTTACTACAGTGGAGGAAACTTTTTTCCTTCTCTGCTGTATGACACTCCCACTAATAAAGCTAGTTATTCAATTCCAATGAATTGTAACTACACCTCTTTCACATTCAAGAAATACAGTGCAATGCAATTAATAAGGAAGGACAAATCAATGCTCCATTTACCTTTTTTTTGTACTGGGGGTTGAACTCAAGACCTTTGTACTAAGCTACATTACCTGCCCCTTTTGTATTTTTATTTATTTAGTATAGGGTCTATAGGGTCTTACTACACAGATCAGACTCATAATGATCCTCCTGTTTTCAGCCTCCCAAGCAATGGGATTAAAGGCACGCACCACTTTGCCCAATCTCAGTTGCCATCTCAGAGTGCCCCGGAGGGCAGGGCCAGCACGGCACACTGGGGATTGAAGCCTAGTCCCTAAACCTGCCTAAGCAGGCACTTTAGTCCACAGAGCTATCTGGCCGGCCCCCTTTATTTTTTATTTCAAACCAAGGCTTTGCTAAGTCACTAAGTTGCCCACATAGGGCTCAAATTTGTGATCCAGCCTAGAACAGTACAGGGATTACAGCCATGCATCAGCTCAATGCCTGGCTTCACCTCTCTTCACAGGCAAGCAAATATTCACTCCTTAGTACCTGCCGTATCTTATAATTGAGCCCAACACAGAAATTATTACAAAACTTTGCTACAGAATCCCACTGATCTAGTTGAGTTCCCTCACTTTGCAGAAAGGGAACCACAGGCCCAGAGAAGGGAATTACCCTCCAAGATTCAAGATCCCATCTTATAAGGAACATGACCTATTCACCCTCACGCTGTACACTCTCTGTATACTCTGTGTACATGCTGTACACAGAGCAGCACTGTGACAGAAAGGTAAGACAAAAACCCTACCTTTCCTAATTTGTTAGCACCTACATACACACCAGGGGCTGGAAGGACAAGTCCAAACACACATACCAGCTATCTCTTGCTGTGTGTCCTATGAGCACTTGAAAGCCAATGTCCCAAAATGAACTCCGCACTCTTTTCTAAACCTGTTTCTCCCTAACTGTTCTCTCAGTTGTGCACTTCTGTTCATCCAAATGCTCTGACATCGCAGTCTTTTCTGCTCCTCACTAGGACCTCCTAAACCCTGTCAATTTGCCTCCTGAATATCTTTTATCCCAACCAGAGCTTCTTCTGCCTCATCTTGGGTCTGAACTCCTAAAACAGCTAAGTGATTCACCTATCTCCAGTCCTGCCCTGCCTCCCACGGGCTTTGAAAGTGAGCCTTCCAAGATTTATGAATCTGATTACCGCATTACATCAGTGTATCACACTGTATGACTATAAAATTGAACATGCTGATCTAAATCCAGTTCTACCCTCTGCCAAAGACCAGCCACACCAAACTGCCTACTGTAGTTCAACTTTCCTGGATCTCTATGCCTTTATAGATACAAGTACCTCTTCCCCTACCTATATGCCTACTCATCCTTCAAAATTCAGGTAAGTGTCATCTCTTATGGACAGGATTCACATAAACTTCAGTTCCCTGCCACCTAAACCTAGTAAATTGCTACCTTCTCCTGGGCATTATGGACCTATCATACTCAAACATACTATTGTTTAACTCCTCTATCCACTCCTCTCCACCCTCCATTCAAAAAGTAAAACTCAAAGCAAGAGATAAAGAGATTTATTTTATCACATCTCTACATCAACATAAAATTTCACCCCAGGACTGCAATCTCAATGTTTAGGTTTCAGAAAGTACATCAATATTTAGATTTTAACCAGGAATTCAGAGGGCTTAAGTGTGGCTCTCAAACAAGGAAGGCTTCTCCCTGGAGTTCACTGGAAAACCCATCAGTAGCCTTTGCCCCTTGATCCTTCAACTCTTTAAGGGTGGAATCTGTGACCATGACCAACTGCTCCATCATTGGGCCAAATGCCTCACTACTGGGCTGGTTCTGACTTTAGTCCCTAATAAAATCTAATTTCCCCAATGGAAAGCATTTGATAGATAATGTCCTTTCTGCCAAGATACTTAATCACAAGACCTAAGCCCTAGTCAAAAGGTGACAAAACTGTTCTTCCAAAATGGCTACCTTGTCTTTTTACAAAACGTTTTGATGGGGGATGGGGGTGTTATTTTATTTTATTTTATTTATTTTTTGGTACCAGGAAATCAAACTCAGGATCTCATGCTTGCAAGGCAGGTGCTGCACTGCTGTTCTTTACAGAGAGGATCTTGCTATGTAGGTCAAGGTGGCCTTGAACTCACTATGTAGCCCAGGCTCACCTGAAACTCAGGGCAACCCTCTTGCCTCAGCCTCTGGAATGCTGGATTACAGGCATGCACCACCATGCCCAGTTACATAATCCTTGTTGCACTAACCAACACAAGTTTTTGAACTGAATACATTGTTTGTGAGATTCAATTTGAGAAGGAGGTAAAGCAAACTATTCATGGTTGATCAATTTCTATTTGTATTACAAAGATCAGTAAACTTTCTTTTTTTTTTTTTTTTTTTTTTTTTTTGGCGAAACCAGGGATTGAACTCAGGCCCTTAAGCTTGCATGGGAAGCACTTATTCCACTGAGGCATCACCCCGGCCCTAAACTTTCCATCTGGCAGAGCTTAGTATTTACCAGGTTTCTAAACAATTATTTTACCTAGATAGAATAAGCCAGCCATATAATTATTCAAAATATAAGACTGTTATATTTAACACCAAGGCTTTAAGGAAAGAAGTTAAACCTTAAAAAGCCAATACTGTAACAGTAACAGAGATACTTATAAATTTGGTACTGGAGACAGAACCCAGGGCAGGGAAGATTTTTTTGAAAAATTGAACTTAACTTATTTCTTGATTAGGGTAGTATATTCACATGCCTTAAAATTGAAAAGTCCTTAGGTGTGGGACACATCTGTAAGCTTACCACTCAGAGGCAGGAAGATTGCCCACAAGTTCCAGGCTACTCTGGGCTACATAATGAGTTCAAGACCAACGTGAACTACCTCGTTAAGACCCTGCTCCTGTTTCAAATAACTAAATAAGTAAGTAACTGAAAAGGCACAAGAGGCCATCTAGAAAAAGTCTTCATCTACATGCTTCACTTTGGCGCTAAAATACGGTTGTAACGGTTCCCTACCTATTCTGCTCTACATGGAGGGATGAGACTCACAGCAACAAGGACAATGAGTTACATAGAGAGATCTGAAACCCAGAACCCTGTTCCCGAGCACTAATGCTCTGACTTCTTTCGGAGCTTCTACGAGTAGCCAGTTAACTGAACTGCTAAGCTGCACCTCACCCCTCCTATCAGAGGAGCAACGCATGCTTCCTCGTGTCCTGGACGACTTTATGAGTGTGCTCGGGTTGGGGAAAGAAATAACCCCCATCAAAGTTCAAGGAAGCCGAGACTCAGGCAGAGCCGGGTCTTCCAGACCGTCCTTCTCCAAGCCCTGACGCCAGGGTCCCGCGGCTCTCCACCCTTCCCGCACGCCGAGGGGCGCGACACTCACTGCCTTTCCTTGCCGGACAGCACTGCCCACGGAAGCAGCCGAGCCAGGCCTCCCTCCGGCCGCACTCGCACCGAGCCGGTCTGCTACGTGGGCCAGCTGCCGAAGCCCTGTGCAGTCCCGCGGACCACCCGGCAAGGCCTGGCTCAGGATGTCAGGCTGCAGGCGTGGCGCAGCGGGGGACTGCGGGCAGCCGAGCAGGGAACTGGGTCGCAGGAGGAGGCCCAGGGCCCGGCAGGATGCTCTCCTCGTCCCCAGCAGACGCGTGGCTCTCACCAAGTGCGCAGAGGCTCTCGTGCCTGCCGCTGCCGCTGTCACCGCACTTGGTGGCCCAGAGCAGAATGCAGCTCCTGAAAGCCGGGCCCGCGCCCGCCCCCCGCGGCTTCCGCTCCCAGGCTCGCTGGCCCGGGACTCTTCGCTCTACCTGGCTCCGCGCTCCGCGAGCGCCCAATCAGCGAGCGCGCAGTGACGTTGCCAGCGAGGACGCTCTTGATTGGCCGATTTCCATCAGTCCCCTCCCGGCTTGGGGCGGCCGGATGCCCCTCCGGCGTTGAGTCTTCTGTCTGCGTGGCAGGGCGGCACTTGCCTGGGGCTGCTCGCTGGCTGGTGACACCCCAAAGCGGTGTGTCCTCCCGCAACACTAGTCTCCGCAGGGGATAGTTGGTTTGGCTTTGCACCCAAGTTGGGGTTTCTTATGCTTTTCATTCCCTCAGTCATTTCATAGACCACCCCCCAGCAATACTGTTGTACAGCCATCCCGGGGGAGCTGTCCCTGGAGTTAAGCTTCGCCTCCCCTGCCACGTCCGCTATGATCCAGGTCGAACTGAGACCAGGAAGGAGGTAGCTGAGCGCTGCAGCCGCTTCAGCGTCGACATCCATTGCAGGAAACTCCTACCTACTTCCAAGGCCCAGGGAGGTCCAGAAAGGCAGGGCAGCAAAGGGCTCACGCAGCTCCTGATGAAGAATTTTAATGTTTTCAAATGGCTGAATCACCATTTAATGGAATTTTGAGTCAGTGACCCAAGATATTAAAAGGGGATTTTTTTAAACCACTGTTACAAGTGAAACTAAACCCTCTAACAGCACTTTTAATTTCTTTGCCTTTCTTGCTACAAAATGAATTTCAAATCCCACCAAACATTTGCAGTTCACAGTGTATTTCAATCAATATGAAGCTCTAATTGGCAAAATAGTTAAGATCAGTTTCCACGCAGCTAGTTTGGAGTCATGACACAGTCACATCAGCTCAAAAGTACAAAAATTAGGGCGGTTTGTACAAGGAAGTGCCATCGGATTTCTTAAGTCATTTTGGCTGTTGGGTGGGAGTCTGATTGGTATCAGTGAAACTCAGGTGCATGGATTTTTTTTGGAAAGTAAATTTGATGAAACTTGATTGTGAATTAGAGATAAGGGAATGAAAGAAAAGGAAAGTATCATGAGTGACTCTGGTTTCTGGCATTACTGCTGGGTGTCTGGGTTTTTGTTTGTTTTTCGGGTTTGTTTTTTGTACCAGGGATCAACTCAGGACCTTGCACTTGGGGCAGGGGCAGGCGCTTATGCCCCTGAGCTATCTTCCCAGCATAAGTGGACTTTGGCTGTGTCAATGTGAGAAAAAGGCGAGAAAATGACTGAGTTTGGAAAAGGAAAAAGTGGAGTTTTAATTTGGGACAGAATATGATGGAAACCTCTAAAATAACCTAACAGTATTTAACATTTATGTTTTAAAATCTGGGAGCTGGTGACATATGTGTGTTTAATTTGTAAAACTTTAAATTGTAAACCAAGTGTGGTGACACATGCTTGTAAACCTGGCTTTCTGGTAGGCTGAGGCAGGAGGGCTGCCAGGAGTTTTAGCCCAATCAGGGCAATTTATTGATTTAGGGAGATCAAAATTTAAAAAGAGGGAGTCTTGGGATGTAGCTCACTGCCAGGGCCCTGGGTTCAATTCTCAGTGTCATACACACACGAAAGTAAGAAGCTGGGCACGGGGCACACCTGTAATGCCAGAATTCAGGATACTGAGGCCAGAGGATTGCCACGAGTTTGAGGCCAGCCTGGACTACATAGTGAGTTCAAGACCAGGCTTAACTGCATAGCTAGACCCTGTCTCAAAAAAAAAAAAAAAAAAATTTAATTCAAATAGTACCCTTAATGATTGTGTGTATCTTTTTGTATGTATGTTATACTGCAATGTATTTTCAAAATAATGCTTAAGATTGAATCTAGGAAAAAATATAACTATAAACATAAACGTGTTTTGGTAATTTGTGCACACTTTTTAAACCATTGATAAATTTTATGTTTGACCAATATTGAGAATTTGTATTTCCATATATAGATAGCGCTCATGGAATCGCTTAAACTTAAATAAAATCATTTTTTCTTCAAGTTTTTTCCTGTGTACTCCTGAGCTGAAAGTGTAGCAAGTTGCCTGAGGAGGCATCTTCACTTGCTTTTTGAGATCACTTTTCCATGGGCCAATAACATATTTTTGGATGTTACTGTGCTATTTAAAAATGCTAATTTATACATTAAAAATCTTTCCAAGTAGTTTCATTTGGCGTCGTTTGGCTTTACTATAGGGGCTCCACAAGATGCAAAAAAGTACCTATGGATTTGCAGTATAACAAAAATCTCTTTTCTCATCAGACTATTCCCTAAGTGAAATATACCTGGTACAATTTTTTTTTTTCCTTTGGCAGAAGCGGGGATTGAACTCAGATCCTTGCATTTGCCAGTCAAGCGCTTATCCTGCTGAGCCGTCTCCCTGGCCCCCTTCTAAGTGAAATATAACTTAAAGGATTCAGAATATAAGGAGACTGCCAAAGAATCCTATATGTTTAATCAAATGTTCTCATCAAAGAAGGAGTTGTTTCTACAGCACTCCTGAAAAATACTCATCTGGTTACTTGGGAACATTTTTTGGCTATTATTTGGTGATTCAACTATTACCAAGTACTGTGCTGCTCTGTAATGTATACCAATGTATGAGTTGTCTGCTATTTTAAACACTTTATCCATATTCACTCGTTACTCATAACAACCTGAAGAAGTACATTGTGCCACCTCCACTGTATAGATAAGGAGACCAAAGCACAGAAGGCAAAGATGTCCACGGTCCACCCTTGCACATTATGGCACAAACCCATGCTCAAGTTGGTTTCGTTTATCATCTTTTGGTTAAGTGGTTCGATTAGTAAAGAATCCATGGGGCTGGTGAGATGGCTCAGTGGTCTAAAGCACCTACTTAGAGCAAGCTTAGCAAAGCACAGGGACCGCGGTTCAATCCCCCAGCACCACATGCCAGCCAGCCCCGCCCCCTGGTGGGCTGAGCTGGCCACACACACACACACACACACACAAATAAAATATTAAAAATAAATAAAGAAAACTAATTTAAAAAAAAAAAGAATCCATGAACCTCTTCTGTTATTCAGCTTAAATCTCTAAATTACATCAAAGTTCTAAGACATTTTAAAATATAACTTCATTAAAATAAAAAATAAAATAAAATCAAAATACAAATAAAATAAAATCAAAATACAAATGTATATGGAATTCTCCTGATCTGTTTAATAAGGCTTTCAAAGATATAAATTGTGGACTGGACATTTGGTGCAGAGATAGAGTACCTGACAATCATGTGCAAGGCTTGGGGCATCAATCCCCAGCCTGATTAAGGAAAAAGGAAATTATAGTGATTTTTAAAAAAGAAAATGAGGGGGCTGGGGAGGTGGCTCAGTGGAATAAGCACTTGCCTGGCAAGTGCAAGGGCCTGAGTTCAATCCCCGGTTCCACCAAAAAAAAAGAAAGAAAGAAAGAAAACGAGGCACTGCCCCCAGAGCACCATGAGACAGGGAATGAGACTGGGTGGCATGTGCCTGTAATCCCAGCACTTGGGAGGCTGAAAACAGGAGGATTACTACAAGTCGGATCTGTGCAGAGAGCCCCCGTAGACCCTGTATTAAATACATTTTAAAAAAAGAAAATAAAATGAATGATACCAGTTTGCACAAGCTTTTTTAAATTCACATTTTACTTGGAAATAGCTTTTTGTAAATAAGAAGAGAACAGGGCTTAAAGGGTGGGTAGGTGATGAGGAAAAGAAGACTCAAGTTGTGTCACGTACAGCTATAAATTACCTATGATGAATGTGATCATTATGTACAACTAAAATGTACCAATAAACATAATTAATTTTTAAAA